AAATGAACAAAGAGATGAAGAGAGAATAATTAACTGGTATAGAGATATTTGAAAACAATGACAGGTTGCACATGTGGACAGCCACAGCTTAGAACAAGGACACCAGCAAAAGATACTGCAGAGGGAGCTGGCTCCAAAGCAAGTTAGATATTTGCGCACAAGAATAATCTTTTAGCTGCCATATGACCTGACATTTATGCTCATGCTATTTCCCCAAAAGAAATGAACACACATTTTCCTGTAAAAATTTGTGTGCGAAATGTTTATGGCTGCATTCAAGAAGTAGAAATAAGCCAATGCCTGTCTGTGGATGAGTGAACAAACTCAGGGTGGCTGAACAGACTAAATGTGGCTGATCCACATAGCAGAATAATATTCTTTCACATAAAAAAAAGAGTAAAGTACTGGGCAGGCTACAAGCTGAATGGCCCCTGAGGATATTATGCTAAGTAGAAGAAGCCAGTCACAGAACCTTATATGCTGTATGATTCCATATGAAATGTCCAGAATCAAGAAATCGATAGAAAACAGAATAGATTGGTGGTTGCAGGGTTTTGCAGGGGAAGGAAGGAGCTAGAAGAAAATGATCAGCTCCTAATGAAGGGTTCATTTTTAGGGCAATGGAAATGATTTAAGATTGATTGTGACTGATAATGGCTGGACAGCTCTGTGGAAATGATAAAAACCAGAGGGATTTACACTTCTTTTTACCCAGAGGGTTTTAACTGGGTGAATTTTATTGTCTGTGAAATTTATCTTCATCCAAGTGCTCTAAATAAACAAACCCTCCATGGAGGTGTGACCTGAGAGGCACAGAGTTCTACCAGCAGTTAGTGTCCCTGTGGCCAGGTGGCACAGAGCCTTAGGAAGGACAGTCTCCTCACTCTCCGCCTTGGGACCCTGCCAGGGGCTGCTAGGACGTTAGCTTCATAGAAGGCCCTCCCTCAGTCCTCAGGGCTAGTATGGAAGGGAGCTGCTCTTGGGTTTTAGAAGGGATAAACATTACAGAATTTCTTTACTTCTGACTCCACAAAAACTCTCTCGGAATGCCAATGGGCATATGTTTAGGTTGGGCAGAAAAAGAAAGGTCCAACACAGGAGACTACAAAGTGAATTAACAATTCTAGAGTTGTCTGAGCAGTAACTGTGCACCTTACCATGTTAAGTGGGAAGAATTTGGGGTGCAAAGAAATGCCCAGTTTATTGATTGATTGATTGATTGATTGATTGATTGATTGATTGATTGATTTTTAGTCACTTTACATCCTAGTTGTAGCCACAGGCCTCGCCTCCCAGTCCCAGCCTCTCTCCTGGAACTTTGGGGAGACAACTGGAGGCTGGTGTGTGAGTGCTAACCTGTGGATGGCAGAACACTGGGCCATCTTCACTCCTGCCTGAAGCTGTGTGCCACTGAGCACACAGTGTGCATGCTGGCCCCATTGTGAGGGTGGCCCTGGGGCACAGGGGTTTCAACGTGCTGGGACGGCAAATCTCACATGTCCTGTCTTCGGATCTGCATTCCTGGAAGCCAGAGTTCCAAGCTGGACAGATAGGCATGTGGAGGTTTACGGCCAGCCCCCAAACTGTTAAAGGGACAGAGCAATTGAGCGTTCACTGCACAGCTTCCATGTCTCATCTGTCTGTTTTTTCAAGTACACATAGATTACAGGAGAACAGCGTGTTCCGAGTGCTAAGCTGACAAATATCAGAAGGGAACATCTCTAACACACCAGGCACTTCCTCCCAGGGAAGTCCTTGAAATACTCCAAGGCCTGACCACTGCTGGCTCAGCCTGGACTTTGCCAAAGGCTCCCCGGCCCCAAAAGTTCTGGCCCAGGACTGTGAGGGTCCTCACTTATCTCCCTGTGGAGAAAGATCCTGGTACATGGAACAGCTCAGCCACCTGGAACCCAAACAAGAAGCAACACTCTCAGGTCCCTTGAAGCCTCTGTGACTTGTGGGCTCCTCCATCTGAACCTTGTGCTTTCAGAAGCCGCAGGGGCTGGCTGTGGTCTCATCTCTGGGGCTGGAAACAGATGCTGTTTACAAGAGAAAACAAGCGAACACACAAACACCCAGCACCTTCCAAATTCGGCCCCCATGCTCCAGGGAAGCTGAGCGGAGGAGGAGGAAGTGGGCTTCGAGGAACCGTGTGGAAACAGGGCAACATTGAAACACTGTGTAGCCAGGCTGAAAATTAAACACATGTGAGTTTCTTTAATTCAAAGCCTTAATTATTCTGACGTTTTCCATAACTTAATCCGAGCCATCACTTCGGCTTTAATTATGCATAATGAAGTGGATTATTTACAGTAACTGATATGACAGGAAAAACTGAGGAGGGAGAATTGGTAACTTGGCAACTGTTGTGTATTCCTCCTTTTAGCCAGCCAGGGAGTAGTGCACACCTACTGTGTTCCCCTTGTCCGCCTTGCAGATGTCTCTCTGGGGTGAAGAGTCCTGTCAGAAGATGTGCTCGAGCCATCTCCTTCCTTCCGTGTCTCATTCACGGCTGCAGGAGAGCTGGCAGGTCTTCCATGGGTAGGACTGAGATCTGAAAGGGTTAGGTACTTTACCCAGGGTCACACAGCACAGCCTATGTTTCTGACCATTTAGCTCTTCAGACAGAAGCCTCTAGACTAGCATTCCAAGTCTTCCCTCTTAACTCAGGAAAAGTCAAGTAAAGGTCAAAGCACTTCGTCATCTCCACTGCAAAGGGAAGGATCAGAACCATGATTTTGTGAAATGAGCCTGAAAGTTTCCTGTAGGATTCCCTGGTGGTGGGGGTTGGGGTCGTAGAGATACGCTGTGTCAGAAGTAAAGCCAGGGTAGTGACACAGGCAGCTTATGACAGGAGCCAGCCTGGCTGTCCTGGGTTTCTGAGAACACTGACTGCCAGTGAATGAGGAGGTCACCTGTCTCTGAGCTTGGGTTTCTCCCAGCCCAGGAGGGACTGGGAGCTGCTCACATCTCAGGGAACTTGAAATGCTTTCAGTTTCCGTTCTGTTACATTGTCCTTCTTTCCCTCCCCATCCTCCTCTCTCATCTGGCTTTGGAATAGCATCTTCCTCATGCTAGTCCCAAACTCACTATATAGCCCAGGAAGGGCAATGCTTCTGCCTCAGCCTCCTGATTGCAAATGTGAGGCTTGAATCTCCCTATTTGTCCTTCAGCAACTTGCTTTCTGGTCATCTGCAGTTATTCATAGCCAGCACCAGCCAGGCTCCTACAAATATGAATCTGACTAAATTTTATCTCCTTCCAGAAACTCTTCCACTTCCAGACTGCTGTGGTAGCTGGTGCCTCTGACCATGAGAGAGAGAAGGGGGGGAGGAAAGAAGGGAGGAAGATGTTTGCTCTTGTGACTGTGATATCACTGCTTGTTCATGTGATGCATGACTTCACTCCCGTATCTCTTAACTCACAGAGTATAAGTGGTTCTCACCCTTCCTAATGCTGTGACTTTTAATACAGTTCCTCATGTTATGGTGACCCACCAACCATAAAATTATTTTCATTGCTACTCTATAACTATAATTTTGCTACAGTTATGAATGTAAATATTTTTGGAAATAGAGGTTTGACAAAGGAGTTGCAACCCATAGGTTGAGGACCACTGATATAAATTAGATCTGAGAGGGAGAGAAAGAGAGGGAGGGAGGGAAAGAGAGAGGAACAGGGGCACAGTCCCAGGCACCAGGCTATCACTCTAATCGCCTGGTCACAGGCTGTCACCTACTGTGACTCCCTCAGGCCCACACAGTCTAAATGCAGGTTTGCCTGTGGGGTGCAATTGCACTTCTTCAGAGCAATGGGGATTCTCCCCACCATTTCCATCCTGACAAAGGGTTTGGCCCTACCCCTCCACATCTGAGGATGCTGAGATATCCATCCCCTACAGCAGGCGGGTACCCATTCCGGAAGAGTGGTGGTGGTTGGGGGGAATGGTGCTTCCGCTGACCCAATTACTCTTCTCACTGCCCCTCAGGCATCTTCCCTAAGGTTGCCATTACTTATGCTGTGATACTTCCCTCACCTCTCTGTGTACCTGGCACAGTGCTGCCACCATCATGGAAATGTTGTCAAGGGCCACACCACTCCTTAGTGGGCAGAAATCAGACTCCAATATTCTTCAGCCAACCTCTGGGCTCTGGAGGGGCCCTGGTGGTGGTCACCATGGGCCCAGAGATGGTGACTCTGCTCTGGGCATGTTTGTGAGGTGGTTTCTAAATTGCTAAACTGAGGACAATCTAGCCTAAATATGGGTAGCATCATTACCCAGGCAGGGGTCGCAGACGAAATAAAAAGGAACATGGCAGCTGAGAACTCCTCTGCTGCCTCACTGCAGACACAGGGTGACGCTGCCCGCTCTTGCTGCCACGATGACTACGCCCTCAAACTGTGAGATAAAAGGAGCCTTTCCTTCCTTGAATTGCATCTGTCAGGTGTGCTTTTACAGCAACAGGCAAAGTAAATGACACAGTGTCAAAGGGCAGCCTCTACCAGGTGTCAGAGACATTTGGTCCCAGCTCTCAGCTATTGTCTTGAGAATGAGTTTCAGTGAGCTCCAAGTCTGAGTCCCGTTCCTCATTCCAGGTCAGTAGAGACCCTCATCACTTGCAGGCTTCCCTTGGGCAAATGACACCAGGCCTGGGTACAGTGGAGGCCACCGTGATCAGGACATGTGCATATGGCTTTGACCAGTGTATCACTTTTTGATCTTCTGACTTCTTATGAGTTCTCTGTGGAGACGCATGGCTGAGGACTTTGGGGACTTGGGTTAGCTAGGATGGGCTAGTGAGCCTGTTGGGTAGCAGGATATCACACAAGTAGGTCATCAAGGAGCTAACAGACCACACATTGTTTAGAGTCTCCCTTAGCTACCATCTGTTTGTTTTCACGCCTGGCAACAGAGTCAGAAGGGGAAGGAGGATTGTGGTATCTAGAATAAATGTGGGCTAGAACACTGGGCGAAGATGCTGGAAAGCCGTATGCACAGGCAGCCATCCGGTATGAGGGGGCCAGTCATTGTCCTCACTCTCCTAGGGATCACCTCAGGTAGGAGCTCGGTGCACTGCAAAGCCTTGCTTGGCCTGCTTGCTTTGCAGGGTACCACATCATAAGAATGCCCCTCACCCCAGAAAAAACATGGCCCTGTGAGGGCTTCTCTGCAGTGCTGAGCGTGGGGCAGCTGCCCTGGGGAGGCTGCACTCTGGGGTCAGGGGTCCTGGAGCAGATGTGAATCGAGGGCCACAGGAGGGCCTAGGCTTGTGCAGACCTCCCTCTGCTGTGAATGGCCTGTGTTCTGAAGAAGAACTAAGGCTGGGAAAGCGCTTCTTAGAGCCTAGCTGTGTGTGGAGATCAAGTCAGTCTTTGCAACAACTTGTCCTTCTCTGAGGCACTGAACTTGACAAGTCATTCTTCAGGGAAACAGATATGGAGGGCAATTGCCTCCCTAAGCAGCAAAGGCCAGTCCTTCTGATAAAAGGCCCATCTGACACTTCCCATTCTTTCTCTCCTCCTTTCAAGAGCTTCAAGTATCTTCTACAATTTTTAAAGAATACCTTTAGTTTGGATTATTGAAATCAAGCTTTTTAAAATGAAGTTTTATATTTTGACTAGGTAACATATGCATACTATATTCACTCCTGTTAATTTGCAGGTTAATTTAGGGGTAACTTCCCTCTTTGATAGGTTATATGGTGAAGTACTTAGAGAAGGGCTTGGGACATTGTAAAAGCTTGATAAAAGCCAGTGGTGCTGGCATACGCCACTAAGTCCCCTAATCATAGTTCTAGATATTTGCTCAAATCTTTCTTTCTTTCCCTCAAGTGAAAGTGTCCTTCCTGAGTGCTTTTAACTAATGATAAAAATGTATATTCCTGTTTCTGTGCTCCAGGGGATGATGCTAGCTTGTGGTGTAAAGGTAGAAATATTTTCTACATCCAGGCCTTACCTGGATGATTAGTTCTAAACCAAAATGGATTTTTAAATTAAAATGCTTTTTCAAGATCCATAAAAAAATGAACATTTGATTTTCTTTTTTGATCTACAAATAAAAAAAAAATAACAACCGGGCTTCCTCGTTTTGAGCACTCCTTCACCTGAGCCTTTAGCCTGTGGAAAGCAGAAACTCTACAGAGTTTGGGGGGGGGGGCATGAACGGTCCAGGCTCTTACCTGAGGCAAACATTTGAAGGTTCTCCCAAAATATGAGCTTTTGAGTTAAGGGGTGACATTTACTGTCACTAGGGGAAGAATGAGGTTAGACAGATGCAGTCAGTGTCTTTCGTGCAAACATTACCCCCCGGGAGTGTTGTCATTAGGTGTGGAGGGAACAAATTGCACAAGGTGTCAAGTACTGGGGCACTTGGGATTTCCTATAGAAAAGTGCATCACACTCCCTCCTGGCCTAACAGACTACACACTTAATCACACATTTCCCTGCATGGTCAAAAGTCCTCGCCTTTTGATTGGCTCCTGTGACTTCTCTCATCTCTTGTGAGTCTGAGAACTTGATTAGTAATGACCTCTCTAGAGCTGCCGAGGTCTGGGGGATTCTGGGTGGGAGGGCAGACATCACACACCTGCCTTCAGCAAGTATGGCCAACAGCCACAACGTAAGCAAAACAGCCTCCTCTTTCCTTTCCTCAGGACTTAAGTTTCTTCAAGGCCCATATCAGGCACACCATCCCTCAGATCCTTCCCACTTGTTCTGGGTCATCATGAACCTTCTTCCCACTGCACCTTGGAATGGTCTTTGCCTATATGGGTTTTCTGTGCCAACAACTCAGAACAATGCCCAAATGCTCAACCAGCTAGCATAAGCCTTGTAACTCACTTCTAATGTATCTATCCTGTCTCTTCAACTACAATGTCAAGCCAACAATGTCAGGATTATACATCTCTTAGTGCTCTGTGGGTCCTCACTATCATCATGGCATCCAGTATAAATTTGGTTGTGTTGATTGCCATCTTTTCTAGGGTCTGGTGCACGTCTGTCTATGTCCTTCACATTTACTCATGAACATTCACCAAATGCAGAGCTTCAAACAGTGTACCTACTTCATATCTGTATTTGACTCAGCTTCTGTCCTCCCCATCTCCTACCAAGATGAGAAAAAAGATGAAAGTTTCTGTTTGGGGAAGCGATCATGTGTCACCTTGACAATGACTTACAAAGGAAATCCCCAGAGAACACTAATGAGGCAAACTCTTGAGTATATTCATGGGAAAGAGTTGAGACCAAAGTCTTTGCCCACCATATGCACCAAAGAGCCACATGCTCTTCACGAGCCAGAAAGGGAAGGACTGGGCAGAGGACCCCTGAGTATTTAAACCTGGGGTGTATGGAATAGAAAGCCTCCAGGGAGCTAGATTTTGTGCTGCCCCATGGAGATAAAGCATGTCGCAAGCCACAGGGGACCACTTGGTGGAGTCCTTCTCTCCTTCCTCCTTCATGTGGTCCTCGAACCCAGGTCATCAGGCTTGCACAGCAAGTACCACCTGCTGGGCCATCTCTCCAGCCCGTGAGAATGCATCTTAACTCTCACCCTCATGGTTTGAAAATTCAGGAGGAGAGTCAATTTCCAGAAAGCCTTTCTGTGGTACACATGACCTCCACAGAGATTGCAGAAGGCCTCAGCAGTTCTCCTCTCCACTTGCACCTGTCCCCTCCCCCTTCCCTCTCCTCTATGGAATTAGGAAAAGTCTAAAAGAAACCAGCTCTTCTCAGGGCAACAGCAGAGTGAGGCTCCCAGACAAACTCATCCTTTCTCGCTACCTACCAGCTAATATGATGGTCAGAATCAATGCTGAGGTCTACTTCTTTTCTTCTGTGTCCTGTTGGAGAATTTCCATGAATTTCAGGTGAGTTCCAGGACAGCCTGCACTGCAAAGTGAGATCCCATCTCAAACAAACAGCAAATTAGGCCTTTTCTCATTCTTAGAGGTCATATTTTGGAGCACCCAGAAGGCCCTCACCACATACAAACAACCCTCAATCAGCAATTCCCAGCATGTGCAATATAAGCCAAAGAAAATCATACTGTCTATAAATTGCCCAGTTGGTGGTATTCTATTATTGCACCACAAAATGGTCCAAGACAGTATTTGTGCATGCATCAGTGGTTCTTAATCCAAGAGAGTGCATCATGCCAGAGCCCTTGGAGAAAAAGTGACAACAGGAACCTACCTGGCCCTGGCCCTGGCCCTCTGGACCTCTTGTTAAGAGGTAGCCTTCAGCTGTGCTGAGTTTCCTTAATGTTTTTACTCTACAGTATTTTTTTTCCTCCTGGAACAAACAGTAGATTTGCAGATTTTGTCATTAGGCTCCTGTGGGTGTTCCTTAGCAACAGAACCCTGATTAGCAGCCATCTGGGCGGCTGCAGTGCCGCAGGAGAATTGACCCTGGAGTCCCACAGGTCAGGGTTCAGCCCAGTCACATGATCAGGCACAGCGATGCTGAAGTGTTCCTATTTCAAATCTCTACCTCAAAGCGGCGGCTTCCCCCACACTCCTTGATAAAGGCGAAAGTGAAGGACCACTCTTTATTCTTTCCTCGTGTGTATATGACGGGAGGCATGCACATGGACTTCAGAGAACTAACTCCACAAGGTTGTCCTCTGACTGCCACATGTTCTCTCCTTCCACCTCTATATGTGGTCCAGGGATGGAGCTCAGGTTCACGGGGCCTGCATGGCAAGCATCTTCTCCCACTGATGTATCTCACTGGCTCCTGGAGGAATTTTTACTGAGACAGTCTCAGGTGAGGGTTGTTTTGTGTCTCAACAGCAGGGCTGTCATATAGAGAAGCGGGCAGTGCGTTACAACTTAGTGTTGGGGCCCGGGGTGGTCAGCTTTCTGCCAGTTACTGAATCTAGGGAGACCTCAAGTGTCCCAACACCAGCTCTCAGGATGAGGCCCCACAGGCCTATTCCTAGGAAGGCTGTGATTCAGGGGAAACAAGTATTTCATGCATCAAGATAGCACAGCCAGCTCTGTGATTTCTAATCTATCCGCACGTGCCTTTTCTTTTTTCCACGTGTTAGATGTCAGCAATTCTAATTTGAGTCTTAATTAAGACACACGTGTAAGTCAAATTCCATGAAAACCTCCTGACTGCTCGTCAGACTCCAAAAAGAACCTTCTAGAAGACCAGCCTTAAGATGGAAATGAAGTGTCTTAGGAAGGAGAGTTGGCTTTGAGCCTCTGACCTCTCTGCTACAATTTGTCTGGTCACCTTTGGGTCCATTACTTTCAGCTGGGTGCCTTGGGAAACCCCTCAATCTTACCTGTGGAATGAAAGGGTTAATGCTCTGAGTATTGCCTCTCACCACATTAGCACACAGACCCTAGCCACTTGCTTATTGCAATTGCAGTCACTGTCACTGCCTCTTTGTTGGCGGGGCATCTGGAGAATGGCACACAGAGATTCTGCAGTGACTACTTGAGGTCACTGGGTCTATTTACCTCTTCCAAAACATCTCCCCTGCTGTCACTTGAAGGATGACCTTTAAGAAGGAGTGAGGGTGTTGATCTTGGAGTCAGCTGCCTCAGTAGGAGCACTATTTCTCCCATGCAATTTACTTCACGCTCAGGTCTTCTCGAAGATCGGATCGGTGCAGCAAAATCAAAGTGTCCACCCAGGCAAAACCTGGGGCAGTATTTGGGGACCACATCTTCTCTAGCCTCTGCAGTGCTCAAAGGATATGTGCTAAGGTTGGAAGCCCCAGCAATCCCCCAGTGAGGGGCGAGGCTGTGGAAACCCCAGGGAAGCTTATCACGAGTCCCCTACTCACACTCTTGCCAGGCTTCTATTGTAGCAGAATTCTTTGTGTGTTCGGAAGAGTGCGGTACTGGGGTCTGAGCCCAGGGCCATGTGTGTGGTAGGAGAGTACTCAGCTACTGAGATCCATCCTCAGTCTTCTTTTTATTTTTGAGACAGGGTCTCATCAAATTGCCCAGGTTGACTTGAACGCACTCTGTACATACATGTATCTTGGGCTTCTCATCCTCCTGCCTCAGCCTCCTCAGATTATAGGCCTATGTCACTACCTCCAGCTTCTGGTCCGACTCAGTGCTTATATTTTTGCTGCTGTGGATGGCCACTTATTGATGGCCAGGATGATCTCTTTCCAATCTCTTCCTCTTCTATTCCTTACTCTACTTTGTTTTATCTATGTCTTGAATGCTTATAGGGACACAGGTCGCTGGACTAATGGCTAACCTAGTTCACTATACACACCTATAAAGGCGCTGTTATAGAGGGTATAATCGGGACTCCTGAAGAACATGAATCTTTGGAGGACCCTATTCAGCCCGAGCCCACTGTAGTTTAGCAAGATTATAAAAACATGAGAGAATATGGCCTCTGCAATGGCCAAATCTGGCACAGTGCCATAGGGACCTTGGAATGGCCCCAGTATTCCCTGGAGAGGCACATGCTCCCTTAAATGGTTACAATTCCTTATCTCCAGGGAAGCCCAAGGAAATCCATGTGCCCTCCTGACTCTCTCATTTTCTCCTTTGTGAAATGAGGACAAACCACACAAGAAGTACTGCCTGATCCCCTACAGGATGTCCCTAAAACAGCTTCCAACGACAGCCCATTCACTGTCCTCGGCATTGCTAATGACTGAGGGAAAATCCACCATGATTCTGGAATTCTCTGGTTGTGCACACTCAATTCTCAGATGACCTCACTGAGACGAATCCAACACCGCCTCAGGGAGGAAAATAAACTTCCAGAATCTTCTGGGCCCCCTGCAAGGGAGAGGATGTTGTTAGCACGCCAAGGTCTTTGAGCGGTTCTTTCCCTGGCTCTTAACAAGGCTGGGAGGGAGGAGGGCAGCAGGGAGCCGGCGAGAAGCAGGGTCTTTGTTCCCCAGCAGCAGCACATTTCACGGCTGGTTGTTTCTTTGGCTCCCAGAGGACTCCACGTTTCACTTCCAAGGGCATAGTGAAAGCATTCAGTCTTGGTGACTGACCAGTCCCCTTTGTTGCCATGAAATGAAGTCACAGACCAAGCAGCAAAGTCTGTTTCCAGCCAAGGGCCTTGTGTTCATGTCACCTGGACTGTTTAAATCTACAGGAGGAGAGGCACTGCACCTGGTCCACCTGCCAGCCACTAGCAACGTGGCAGAGAACGCTCCACCTGCCACTTTGGTGCATGAGTTTTCCGTGAATTTATCAGTGTCATTGTCACCCGTGATCCCTGGATTTCCCATGGTAATCAATCCAAGACCCTTCACGGAAGCCTTCAGGGTAAACCGACTATCAGCAACCAACTTTGAGGTAAGCGGTCTCTCCCTTATGCCCCCATGTCTCCAAAGAAGATGTGCACGGGGTTACAGAAATCCATCCCTCTGTCACTGCTTTAAATTCCACTCTGCCAAGGAATCCCAGGACCCCCTCCCCCCCATGCTAAATGCCCCTGCCACCTTTGGGCTTTCCCCCTCTACCTCCACCGTCCCCTTGAACATTCACCACCCAGGATTCTGGGTGTGTGTTTGCACTGGCTGACCCTGTTCTTTGGAAGGGAGAGGATGAATCCGACAACCCAGGTCCTGGTGATCTTGAATCTAGGGAGTCACTCTGCTGTGGCTCGGTGATTGGGGGGGGCAGTCTGAAAGAGCAACCATATTTAATATGAAAGATGCACCCACATCTGCAAGCAAAATCTCAGCGTCTAGATCCTCAACATGCACATTCCCTCTCAGATGCAGACCCGAAAATTCACATTCACCTGTCATGTCACAGTTGCTCAACTGTCTACCTTGTCATTTGAGCCTTTGCCAAAGCGTCACTTTCCCAGAGGGAGAGTCAACCTGAAGACATCTTTAGGATCGAGGGTCCAGACTTGCCGGCCTTCAGTATTCTCCTCTTCAATCCCCTTACTTAACATGTCTGCCGCCTCCCAAAAGTAGAACCAGCTCTGCCATGAGTCCCTGGGGTCCTTGTGGGACACAGTGGGCTCAGCCTGGTCTAGACTTGGTAGCTTTCGTGAGGTCCACACTGGTATTGTTTTGTTTTGTTTTTTCTGAGTCAGGGTTTCTCTGTGTAGCCTTGGCTATCCTGGACTCACTTTGTAGACCAGGCTGGCCTTGAACTCACAGAGATCCACCCTCCTCTGTCCCCCAGAGTGCTGGGATGACAGGCATTGCCACTGGCCCCGGCTTATACTTGTATTCTTAAATCTAGTGGACTCTCTACATCATGAGGGAAGATTCAAAAAGTAGGAAGATGAGGGCTCTCCAGCTGCCTTGGAGAAGCCATGCCCTGAGGCTAGAGGCCAGAGGCCATAGTTCTCTCCACTCAAGGAGGGGTTCAGCCAGTCTTCACCTCATCAACCCATGGACATTCCTGGGACCCACATGCTGCCCGGCCTATCTCTTCTTGACATCTGGCCTAGTTTTAGCAGCTGCTGCCAGTCTGTTCCCCTTAGGCCTGCCAATTGCTCACACTTACAGAGTGTATCCTATGTGCTGGACACCACTGAAAAGGATTCTCACACTCCTGCTCTTGAAATCCTCCAGGTACAATGGTTGTCATTTCGACATTGCCTTCTAGCCACAGATGAGGGAAATGAAGCACAGCACAGAGAGACTGCAGAGTTTTTTCCCTAGCTTGCCTGGCTAACATGCAGCTGAGCTGTGACTGGAACCAAGGCAGCTAACTCTAGAGTTCTCATTATTTTATTTTAAACATCTTTATCAAGCTATTAGTTCACAAGTAGATCCCACTTCCTCCAGAGGCCCTCCTCAACCCTATAAGGCTAGTCATGGCCAGGGGTTTTCTGCTGGACTAGTGTCTCTAAGGAAAAAGCCTAATTACCCAGGCAGGGGAAGGACAGCAGGTGGGGCCCCGAGCAACAGCTGAGGAACTGTCCAAGGTCCTGTGAAGGTCAGTGCCATCCTCTTTCATCCTCCCATGGCTTAGTCTGACTCCTCTTTTCCCGTTAACTGTCCTGAGCACTGCGGGCCTCAACATTTGCTCAGCTTTGTTCAGGATGATATTGAAGTCAACATACATAAAGCCCAACTTACTGTTTACCCCAGAATTCTACAGCCAGATTGCCTGCAGCCAAATTGAAGTTCCTCACTCTTATCTGGTACCTCGGGAGAGCTCTTTCCCTTCCCTTCCCTTCCCCTCTCTTCCCTGACTTAGGCTTCCTATATAACATGGAGAGACACACCAACCTACAGTTGTTGTGACAAATAAAATAATAAAAAAGACTTGGCAGGAGGCAGACCCAGAACACTGGATAAACACTGGTGAGAACAGGCAGTTTTTCCCTCGTGCTGGTAGCAGCACGATTCCTTTGGTTTTAAGATGGGAAATGTGGACACTTGTGAGAATTCTACTTGCTTCCTGCAGAGAGTCCCTGCTAGTTCCCAAGGGTGATGTGGAAGAGTCAGTGTAACCAGGGATGAGGAGAGCACTAGAGCCTGAGCAGGAAGCTGGTGTATAAATGAGGAGGGCCTGAACTGTCGCTACAGGAGCCTGCTCAGGTAGATGTGTGTTCCCCACGCAGTTTCCGCTCCCAGGTTGAAATCCACCCTTGCAGAGAGTGCTTAATGCCTGAGCAACACCCTGAGTCAGCTCATTCATTTTTATCCTCGTGTTACAGATGGGGAAACTGAGGCACCGGATAGCTCCCTAACGGGAAACTGATCTTTGAAGTCAGTCAGTCTGGCTCAGGGCCTCTGCTTATGATATGCTATGATGCCTTAGCTCCCACAGACAAAATAGAGAGCCCAGCTCTGGATAAGCGGCCAGACGGACGAGGCTTAGACAAAGACAGGCTCTCTGCAGACAGCAGACCACCTTGTTCCCCTGTCCACCCTCACCCATCCTGTCTCCCTCCACTGCACGCGTTCACCTGCGGCTATCATCTCTCCTTGTGACCGGCCTAGATCTCGAACGGTCAAATCGGATACTCACCACCTCCTCCATGCAGCCCTCTCTAAACAGACAGCTTACAGCAATCTGTTCTCCCTCCCGACCCTCACCTCTGCTGTAAAGTGTCAGCTGATCATGGAGACCAGGGATGGCTTCCTGAGCTATAATCACGTGGGAACAAAAGGAGAAGGGATAGGAACTCCTCTGAGGTCACACAGAAGTTCAGCAGAGTAAGAGGACCAGAGCCAAGGGTTTTTACCACATGATGCTGAGGGTCCCGGCCCCTGATGTAGAAGCAGCCGAGGCTCTAGAAGGACTCCAGCCCTTCCGCTAGGGTTATAGTGCAATGGTAAAGCACTTTAACCAATATGTGTGAGGCTCTGGGTGCAAGCCCCATTAATGAAGAAAAAATAGAGGGAGACATGAAGAGCAGAGAGAAAGAACAAAGAGAGGACTTCTATACTATAACAACATGCCAGAAACTGGGTAATTAATGAAGAAAATAAAGTGATTCTTCCTGTTTCTGGGAACTCCAATGTCAAGGTGCTGGAATCTGGCCAGGGCCTTCTAGCTGCAGAAGGGCAATGGCCAAAACAGCAGCATGGTGAGGGGGCAAGGAAAAGATGGGCAAACAAGGAAGGCCTGGGAAGGTGGCCTGGGTTCCTCACAGCCTACTCTTGGAGATAAAGTGTTGATTCACTCAGGAGAACGGCACACTCGCCATCCACCAACCTCGCTTACTGGTCAGCTCACACCAGGCAGTACTGTAACACTGGTCATTCCATTTCAACACAAACATTTTCAGGGATAACTAAACCAGAGCCAAGTCCCTGAGCCTGTAGGAATTGTGCTCGGGACTCCTAAGGGCCCTGTGAAAAGCTTGCCTGCAAAGCAAGCCTTTTACGCGGATGCTGAGAGTCTTGCGTTTGTTTCAGGTTGTCACCACTGGGAAGGAACAACTGGATTTTGAAACAGGACCAAAATCATTTGATTTGCAGATTTATGTTAAGGATGATGTTGGCGTCACAGACTTGCAGGTCCTGACGGTTCAGGTGACAGATGTGAACGAACCGCCTCAGTTTCAAGGCAACTTAGCGCAAGGTGAGACAAACCCCAGCATCAGGGAGGACCCTGCGGGACAGAGCCGCACACAAAGTAAACGAAAAAGCAGCTGCTTCCTCGGAAAAGGCAGCTGCTTAACGAGCAGGGAAAAATGAAGCGTCTTTCTCTCAGCATGCCCAGTCGTGCCACCCAGCAGCCTTTAGAGCCTCGCATCTGTGCTTCTCTCTGTCCCTCTCGGGCTTGGGAAGCATGCTGAATGCAGGGACCTCGAAATGGAGCATTTCAGAGGAACCTGGGCTCAGCCCACTGTAGGATTATCACCATATTCTGCATCCGCAGACCAGCTGTCCTGTTCTCCCTCATGGACTCTGTGGGCATTACGTGCCCTGGACCTGCCTGGGAGACATCCGGGACAATATGAGGAAATGGAAAACTAGGGGTATAGCTTGGTGGTGGAATGGTTGTATCACATGCACAAGGCCGTGGGTCCAATCCCCCTACATTCCCCAAAAATATAAACAAGAGTGAGGAATGGCTCAGCAGGGAAGACCTCTCACTGTGTGAGCCTGGCAACCCCAGTTCCGTACCTGGCACCTACACAAAATCGGAAGGAGACAGCTGTTCTCTGATCTTCACGAGCATGCTATGGCATGTACACACCCACACACCATGCACACATGTGGGGATGTGTATACACAGAGAGAGAGAGAGAGAGAGAGAGAGAGAGAGAGAGAGAGAGAGAGACAGTAACAGTTAATACACTTAAAACAATACAGAGAACAAAGATGGGACCTGGGGACACTTCCCATCGGATTTTGCCAAGCGCCTAGCTGTGCACACTCTCTGTACAACGACAATCTCAAGTCCATTGTTCCTCCGGAGCTCTCCTTGAACTCACCACTCAGCCATCCGTTTTATCCAATGTCTCCTGGACATCTAAGGCCTCCCAAACTTAGCAAGCCTCTCAAACCAAACTCCTACCCCCACCCCAACCATCTCTAGTGTCGTTCCTATTTTAGCGGCTAGCACATCCAAGTTCAAGGTTAGCTCTGCACCGTCAGGCTGGATCTGAATTCCAACCCTATTACTTAACAGATGAGAGAACTCTGTAGCCTTTCTGACAGAGTTCCTCCTCCATTGTAAAATCCTAATTACACTATCAAAATAATTAAAACGTGGTCTTTTTTACGGGACTGTTATGAGGACAAAGAAAGAAATGGGTGGCCTGTTCAGCATGGCACCCACAAGAAATGTTCCTTTCAAGACCTTGGCCTCTTTTCAGACAGTAAGGGTCCTTGCTGCCCTTATCAACAGGAACACTGTAGGAGACTGGAATTGGGTTTTGGTCCCTTCCTTGAGCTTCTGGGAGCTCCTCAGATTCCTCCAACTCTTCCCTGCCCCTCTGTGTGGCCACTGATTACAGACATGCCCTTCTGCTGGGACCCCGTGTGTTTCACAGGGTCACTTTAACATAAGAAGATGTGTCTGAATGTGAAAGGCTTGTGCTGGCAGCACTCGGGGGCTTCCCAACTGAAGACATGCAGCCAGTACTGTGTACTGTAGAGATCTCCACAATGTGGTTCAAGCTGTCTTTCGCTGGCTCTCATCATTGCAACTCTCTCTGTCAATGATGACAGCATGCCTCGTTGGTTCCCTTCAGCAGTAGCATCTGGATGGCCTGCTGTTACAGCCCCCTATCTGACAAGACATTTTTATTCCCCTTTGGCTTGGAACAGGTTTAAATCTCTATGTAGTAGAAAGAACAAACCCTGGATTCATTTACCAGGTGGAGGCCTTTGACCAGGAAGACACAAGCCGGAACACACCCCTCAGGGTAAGCATCCTAGGCGGCAGGTCTGGCCAGGGCTCTGGGGACATAGTGCCCTGTGATCTTGGACAAACTCTAACATTGTTGAGCTCCTGTGCCTGAGTGACAGCGAAAGCAGGAGAGTACTTGACACAGGCAGGGCTTGCTCATGTGAGAGGCGGCTCATGAAGCCACCTGGCCCAGGCCAGATCAGGCTGGCAGCGTTTGCTTTCAAGCCGATACCAAGCCACCTATGCTATGAGAAACATAAACACTAAAGTGCACCCCAAACCAGGTACTAACCTTCTAAGAGATGGAGTCAAACTTGTAGCCAAGACATTTTTTCTTTTTAAGCCTCAGGAGTTTTGGTGCAGAGCAGGGACTGGCTGATTCAGCCTGAGACAGCTGAGATTTCCTCTCTCTCCTATTTGAAATCAGATTCCTTCTTGGAGCTGAGCTTTTAGATCCAGCAATCCCAGGCAAAGCCTCTTAGCTATTCCTGGGAAGGGTGCCTCTCCTTGCCTTTCTGAGGCTGAGCTTACCCTGCAGTTGCCAGGATCACCCTGGAGGAAAACATGATGGTAATTTCACTCATTTACCAAGGGAGCAGGGTGCCCAGATGCCAACCCTGCTGTGTAGAGACTAAATTTGGACAGTCAGGCTACTGGTAACACCAGAGGCCTGATTCTCCTGTTTGCTGTGGATTGGCAGCTTCAACAGGAGCAATTTTTTTCTAACAGGAAAAAGTGATCCAGGGGAATAATCTCCAGGACGACTGTAGGTAGCCACAGGGGCTGAAACAGCTGCTGGAATGATAGGGCAGGCATCTCCATTATAACAGAAAGCTGTTTTTCTTAGACAGTGTCCTTGTGTTCAAGAACATCCATTCCTTCATTTGTTCAAGAGTCAGCTTTTGCATAAAGAAGTGAACTTGGAATGGGTGGGTGTCCACTCTGGTGAAAGCAACAATGCTGTGTGACAAAACTTTTCCTGGGAAGACCCTACATACCCATCTCCTTACCGCACAGCAGACCAAAGCATAGCTACCACCAAAGTCCAACTGGGTGAAGCAATAAATACCACTGGGGCTATGTACAGGAGCATGAGTGAGGGGTTACTTTCAGCGGTAGGAATGACTCAAGGACATCTGCATCACCAAAGCCCACCCCAGCATGGGTGACAACTCACAATCAGGGAACCTGAGACACACTGCATAGACTGAGCTCAGCTCAACAAGTTGGAAAGTGCCCTTTCCAGGAGCCTCAGTTGGTCTAACCCTCCTCCAGGCCACTGGTTCGAGTCTTCTTTTCAGCTCTATTGTTTACTCTGGCAGGGAATCTGGTCTGTTTCAGAAACTTCCTGAAGCTGTTTTGAGTTGTCTACCTTCCTCCCTAAGGAGATTCCCTGCACGGTAGAATATTTCAATCTCTGATGAGCAAACGGTTACAGAACAAACAATAAGGGTTTTAAATGAGCATTTACTAAGAGCATGCTTGCTATGGAGGGCAAATATAACAGAAAATATAACCACATCAGAGGATAGGAGATAAATTAGTGTGTATATGTGCATGTGTGTATGCGTTTGTGTGTGTGCTCAAGGAGGCCAATGCTCAAGAAGGGCAGAGGAAGACCCTTTACCTTGACTTTATTCTTTTCAGTCAGATTCTTACTGAATCTTGCTAGGCAGAGGCCAGCAAGCACAGGGATGCTGCTGTGTCCCATCCCCCACAGTGTAATGATCACAGACACCCTCAAGCTCATCTGGTTCTTTAGTGTGAGTGTCAGAATCTGAACCTAAGCCCTCATGTTTGTATACTGAGTGTTCCACTCACTGAGCCATCTCTCCAGCCCTAGATTGTGTGGGTTTTTGTGTTGTCATTGTCTTGTTTTGTTTTGGAGACAGGGTGTCTCTATGTAGCCTTGGCTGTACTGGACTCTACCAGGCTGGCCTGGAACTCACGGGGAGGCCTCTGCCTTTGTGAGTGCTGGGATTACAGGCATGTGCCATGATAAACTGTGTTTTTTTACTCAGGTTCCATGAAAAAAAAATAGATACTGTATAAAATTATAATTTGACAAAACCAACAACAAAGCAGGTGTATCTTAGTGAGGTCTATTTCTTCAGATTCCTCGTGCGAGGCCCCTGAGGGTCTGGTGATGAACTGCTTGCTATAGGGTGGGAAGTAGAGACAAGGTTAGTGGGACCTTCTTGTTTCTTTGTTCTTCTCATTTGCCAAGGTGCTATGTTTGGGACACTGTGTTCTGAGTGATGTGCATGCATCAAATGACAATGACTCAGTTGGATACTGACTACAAAGTGTGGATAAGTTACACTGCGGTCTCTGTTGGTTACTTTTCTGTTACTGTGATAAAATACCAGGAACAGCTGCACTGTGGTGGCACACGCCTTTAGTCCCAGCCCTGGGAAGGCAGAGGCAGGCAGAGCTCTGAGTCTGAGGCCAGCCTGGTCTACAGAGTGAGTTCCAGGACAGCCAGGGCTAGCTACACAGAGAAACTGTCTCTCTCCCCACCAAAAAAAAAGAAAAAAACCAAAGAAACTTAAGTAAGAGTTTATTTTGGCTTATGGTTCCAGAAGAATAACAAGAGCCATCGCGGCTGGGAGGCATATGGTGCCTGCTGCAACCCTGGTGGCACACATCTTAAATCCCAAGCACCAAGTAGACAGCAAACCGGAAGTAGGCGGGGCTTTTCGCCCTCGAAGCCCACCCCCCGTGATGTGCACCATCTGAACCTCCCAAACATCACCACTAGTTTTCAGATTCCTAAGGCTGGGGGGACACTTCTCCTCATTCAAACTACCACAGGGTCCAGGTGAAGAGCAGCCTTTTGAAAGCAGCACTTCATTTCTTATGTGTACACTCATACACATACCCCCCCCCCCCACACACACACATACGGGTTTTTTTGAGACAGGGTTTCTCTACATAGCCCTTGCTGTCCTGGGTGTCACCATGTGACTCACCTCAAACTCACAAAAATCCACCCAGCTCTACCTTCCTGGTGATGGGATTAAAGGCGTGTGCCGCCCACACCTGGCTCTTTCTCTATTTTTGGTGTTTTCATGTTTTCAGACAGGGTAGCCTAGCCCAGGCTGGCCTCAAACTTGCAATCCCCCTACCTCAGGCTCCCAAGTGCTGGGATTATAGGTACGCTTTACTGTACCTAGCCAGATTTCTATTTTAAGTCTCTATTTTAATACATCTCCAAGTTATACAGCTGGCATGAGGTTCCACTCCTTCCGACACCCACCTCAGGTGCAGTTGTCCCCTGGAAGGGACCAGTGTGCCAGGGTACCTCCCTCTAAACCGTGCAGCTCTGTCAACGTGTTTTGGAGGAAACTGTAAACCTAGAGCAGGTACAGACTGTGGGACTGTTTACAGAAAGATGCTCCTGGCTTGTCAGAGAAAGCACTAATGATGTGTTTAACTCATGTGTGGGACCAAATAGCTGTATGAACAGCTAACTGTCTAGAACGATCAAAGTCTAGAGAAAAGAAGTAATGGTTTGGACAGTACCACCTTCTCCCTGGTCTTCGTATTTAGGTGCTTGTTTCTGGTCACCAGCGGTACCGAGAGACATAGTTGGCTGTTCAAAGCAGAAAGGCTACAGTTAACGCTCCACTGACAAGGTCCATGCTGCTCACCTTTGGCTTGAAATTGCAACCTCCAGGGAACTTTAAACACTCACGGGTGTCCTGAGAGTGTTCCTAAGAGTTTAGGGTTGTGGGGTTGTAGATGGAGAGGGAGGTCTGCCCAGTGGACAGCTGTTTGAGCAGAAAGGCTGAGACACTGGTTCCCGAAGGCATCTCATGTTTGGCATGTGCTGAGAACAGATGAGGCTGCCTGAAGAATGCAGATTCCTGCGCTCGGCAGGCAAATGCTGAATCAGCACGCAGACTTCAGATTGCTTTGTGGGACTATGCTCAGACCCGCTGAGCTGAGCGAGAACAGACTCGAGGAAGCTTGGGCACACGTACTGAAGCCACCTGGGCTTGGTCTGTGCCTCTTCCCTCGGCTGATGGGCTCCATAAAGTTTACCCTCCTCCCCAAATGAAGGGTAAGTTCCAGAAAGATCTAGCACACACGATGAACCCTGACCCTGCAGACGAAAAAGCATCCCACCGGCTCTTAACACAGTTCAAGGAAGTGGAATCACATCACAGGCCATGTAAAATAGGCATGCATCCAGAAGCCACAGCCTTTGCTCCTTTATCGGATCTTGTTTTAAAGAAACCTAGCAAGCATGCAGTTGCGTGTTGTTGTGAACACCCTTGCCCATCGCTGTACCCGTGCAACCAGAGATGAATGTTTGCAGATGTCGTTTTGAATGTTTTAATGGCCACATTAAGAGTACAAGAAACCAGGCAGCATTAATTCTTGTCAGCTCACAGATGCTCTAGCTTCTTCTCTGCCCATCCCAGAAATCAGGTCACACAACCATGCAGTCTTTCCCTTAGGACAAAAAGCTGACAGGCGCCTGCAGTGACTCAGCCCAGCCCCTCCCACCCCTCTGCTGAGCAGCCTGAACTAGTACCTGCCTCCTGGGATGCAGGCTAAGCTACAAGCTGTGGAACTTCCCACCATTTCTTAAAAACCTATGGAATCAGAAAGCCCCCTTTGTTCTGAAGATTTGAAGGGTCTTCAGGGCCCCTGTCATGCTAAGCATGGCACTTGTCTCTCCTAAGGAAGCTATTCTTTGGAATTTGAAGGGAAGACTTCCTCTCCTTCAAGGCCTCACCATATTGCCTACGGTGTGATGCTACACACACACACACACACACACACACACACACACACACACACACATACACACTGGTTAAAATCTTTCTTAAAAACTCTTCTGAAGGATGGTCTCATGTCAGTTCCTTTCTGCAGACCTGTCCCTCCGTTCTTTCTTCCCAGGTTAAAATAGTTACAATATAGCTTAATTCGGTATGTGTAACATATCACCAAAGGACAAACGAGATAGTTTACACTCACTTTTCACATGATCTTAGAACACTTCAC